AACTGCTGTGCGAAAGATGAGGTTATTTGGATGAGGATTCAAAATATTGTTGTTAGTGAAAGTGGGAGGTTGGTGGTGGCGGTGAGGCATTTTTATTGTTTCGCATGGGGGGGTGTTTCGGAAGTGGGTACGTTGACTTAGTGTCAAATTGACGTCCACACCAGCGAGATTGCTTCTGTCTTCCCTGAAGACGCCTCTATGGTCCACCAAGAGCCCAGAGACGACAACATAGTCAGCATATTTGGTCCTTGAAGCTGAGCGTTAGCTACAAGAATCCGAGCCTAATTGAACGGCAACATCCATGTTTCTTCAGTATTTTGCTCATATCCAAGACCAAGATTTCCATTCTGAAGAGACCAGCGGCCAAGATAATCTTCGCGGTGAGCAAGTTCGCAGAAGACTAAACTTTATCATCTCGTAATCTATCACCCGAAGCAATTCACAGCCAAAAGATTGAGCAAAAGCAAGACTCTTCCATTTTTGAAATGGAAAAGACGCATTTCTGAGGCATTACCTATTCCTTTGCGACGAATAAGACTTCACATGAGGGTTGCACCTAGCATAACGTCAGTGCATTTGCTGGCGCTGCGTACTTAAAGGATCATTGGGTGTTGAAATGGGCAAACTTGGATGCGCACAATCTGACAGTATTGGTATCGCCATAGCCTTGTCACTTGTGCCAACTTCTATCGAGTCTGGAATGATAATCAAACACCCGAGTTATTAGAAAGGAAGATTCTGAAGCGGCCAAGGCCAAGTTTTGCCTACATTTCATGAACACTTATTTCAGAAACTGTCATTCAAGGCGGGAGATTGTTTGGATCGGCGGTTGCAAATCCCAACCATACGGGCGCACTGGGCCTTTTTTGATGATTTTGCTCACGGCAGTAACTGCCATGGCAGACTTATTCATTACTTCTGCGTCTTTGGTTGGATATGTATCCAAACATAATAATCCAACTATCCGGGCCACGCATGTCGCAGAAAACTGGACAACGGCAGCACAGGCTCTCACAAACGTAATTCTGGGCTGCTGTCTGCATTCATAGATAATGAAAAGAATGATCAGAGACGGCAGCAGTATGAATTGCATAAGAACCTCCACTATCATATCCTGTAATTACGCCTCTTGTGTGCTCTTGATGTAAGGCAGGTCATGTTCGGCAGAGCTCGCATTGTTAGCGCCGACTGAAGCACTCAACAAAGAGCCTAAGCAAAGTCGTGGTGCGTTGGAGCTAGTAAAAGAAACAACGGTTACATGAGGCAGCGAATAGAGTTTTAGTGTCATGTTGCTGACTGTGCCCCCCCCCCCCCCCCCCCAGAAGCTAGACAGGTGAGGGCGGCCTGCAGAGGAGCATTGGACGAAAACTTACGACGACTCAGCACCAATCTCTAGAGAGCTTTCGGTTACAAAAGGGTAACAAGGCCTAAGGCGCGTTTGCATGTGCAAAGATAATGAACTACCGTCCACCAAAACTCTCGGCAATATCTTACTGGCTTGGGCTGTGCAGGCCGAAGGTCCGCAGCGTGCTGCCACCGTGTTTGCGTCTTAACAAACATCTGTTAGACTTCAGGAATGAAACACGACCAATCTTTTCATCCGTCTACTCATCCATTTAATGCACCGTCTGTAGTCAACATGGTTTGATTTGATAGTGATTGATCAATCGTATCGCTCAAATTGCTCCAAGCTTTCTGTCAGATCGGCCGTTACTTCCTCCGGCCAACACATTGAGGGGAGAATATCAAGTGATATCATACCTACATCCAATTCTGGAAATACGGTCATCATTAATTCCCGTTCGCCGAAAGAGTGAGCTTTGAAGGTTTCAATGCTTGCTTTTCTGTTCTATCGTGGCACATAAAGTCATCTATAAACCCCACTGATGAGTGCACCTTGGTTAGACCATTTTGATCAAGCCTTGCAGAAATCTTTCGTACCAGCAAGGATCTTATATTACAGACGAGACAGTACCATTCCTCCTGATATTTCATCTTCCGCGCGCTATCAAGATTCATCTTTGTCATCATCATGGCTCAGAGCACAACCCACGCAAACGGCTTACAAAACGGAAGCCCCGGAACAGCCCAGGACTTCATTCGCGCTGCAAAGAATGTCACAAAATGCACCTTCAAAGATGAGGAAGAAAGAATGGACACGCTCTCTGCAGCATATGAAGTGATAGGCAAAGTGGAAACTTCATGGGACACCTACGTCCGCATGCTACTGAATCAGGTAGTAACCCCAATCTCCGCGAAGTCCGTCCGATGCTAATCAGACTTGTATTGTAAGCCGGCAACTGTTGGTGTTCTCCTGACTATGAAGGACTTGAGACTTTTCGAGAAGTGGGAAGAGAACGGAAACGTACCCATGACCAGTTTGCAACTTGCAGACATGGTCGGGAAAATTGATCCTGCCTTACTTCGTGAGTCTATACATTGCCTACATTTACGCTATTGCAACTAAGACAATTACGCAAGATCGATTTCTGCGCCTTTTAGCTGCAAACCATCTCGTGGAACAAATCCCGGTTGATAGATTTCAACCGAGGGAATTCTGCATGGAACTCAACAAGCCTTTCGGGGCGCTTCTCGACTACTTGTGAGCCATGGAATTGCAGCGAAGCCTTCTTCATTCTGACTTCTACAGCCGCTTCGCTACCCTTCCCATGTACGGTGAAATGCCAAGGATATTGGCTGAGATGGGTTATAGAAACCCTGTTGATGGTACGGATACCTTGTTCCAGAGAGTTAAGAACTACAAAGGAAGTCTGTGGTCCTACTTCAAAGAACATCCTGAATTTGGCGAATCCTTCAACATGGTACAGAAGGTCTCGACAGGCAAAGAGCAGCCGTGGATGGACATGTACCCCCACAAGAAGCTGGTAGACGAGTCGGATCCCAACCTACCTTTATTTGTGGACGTTGGTGGGGGCATTGGCCACGACTTGACGAGGATGTACAACGCATATCCCGAGACAGCTTCGAGACTTTACCTCGCAGATCTTCCCGAGGTTGTTGCGTCGAATATTGTCCCCGAAACTATCAACAAGGTGGACTACAACTTCTTTACTCCTCAGCCTGTGAAGCGTAAGTTGAGCAATTTCAATTTCGTGTCTACCAAGTTGCTGATCTGGCTGGATAGATGCCAAAGCCTACTACTTACATCACATAATTCACGACTGGTCGGACGAGCCTGCACGAAAGATCCTAGAAATGCAGAAGAGCGCTATGAAGCCTGGCTATAGTAGACTTCTTATCCATGACCAGATTCTCGATGATGAGAAAAGCCAGATGTCTACAGCTGCCTTCGACATTGCGATGATGGTCTACCTAGCAGGGCAAGAGCGCACCGAGAAACAGTGGTTGGCTTTGATCGATTCAGTTGGATTGAAGGTGGTCAAATTTTGGAAGAAACCCCCTGACCACTTCAGCGTTATTGAGCTTGAACTGGCCTAAGAGGACTTTTCTGTAGCTTATTCATGTGTTTGAGAGCTTTTGTAGCAGATTTTGCAAACTATCCTTGAAAGATTATTTAAATTGGCTTTAGATTTCTTTGGATAACGCAACATCAAACTGTTAAGCTGTATTATCACGTGGTCCAAATAGTGCCGACGAAGTCAGTACATGTATCCATTGGCGTCTATTGGTAGTCCTAAACCTTTTAGCTGTTTTTGATGCGCACCAAATATGAATTTGTAAGATGCCATAGTAATCCATGGTTTCTTGAACTGTTGATCTGTTATATGTGCCAAACTTCCGCTGTGTCATTGACTGAGAACTTGCGAGCGCTTAGCACTGCTCAAGCGGATGTTGTAATTGGACTATCCACAAACGCCATGCATCCTTGCAGCCGACAATGTACTGATATAACTGTACTTACAACCCACAGACGTGTGGGCTTGGACCGCAGAAACTAGAAATGCTTCATCTCCACGACGACCTCTCCCGGGTGTCCCTGCCTTGAGTCGTATATGCTCAACGAATTCGTGCTCCCAAACAACCCGCCATCAGCCTCAGGGCCGCCGATATACCTGTCTCCAAAAGCTACAAAGCCATCATCTCGTCGACAGTATGCCTCAATGACACTTGCAATAGGCTTGTGCGGGAAAGGCACCATGATACCCTGTCCATGATCCTTTCCATCCAAATACATCAACTCCAACTCCTCGTTGCCGCTCCATTCGTACCTCTTCCAATCCTCAATGTCATCGAGGGTCCACCTCACGTCGCCAGAGTAGACATAGCTGGCCACTGACTTCGGTGTCGTAACGCAGTCTTCCCCTCCTAATATGACTGTGCTGCGCATTCCGGGCTGAATGCCGTTGCCAAAAATCGCGATCTCATTTGAGGATCCGGAGGCATAGTATCCGGTCTCCGCGCTGCGGAGACTGGGTGTAAGCATTTCTCTCCACATCAGGGACTCTCTCCAGCAAAGTCTCCGAGCGAGCGTGTAGGCAGTTCCGGCATCCGTGGCGCTCGCCCACCAGATCTCCCATTCATTGCCGTGTCCTGTTCTGCCACGGATAGATGGAGTTGGCTCCCGTCGCGTGAAATTGTAGGCCACATCTGGCAGATGCAGCAACATCGAGACGGGATCTATCAAGATACAGGCGGCGACCCGTGGCGCAAAGTCGGCTCTCTGGAGAAGTTGCGGCATCAGAAGAGTTCCGTAGCTATTGCCAATCAAGACAAAGTCATCCCAAACGCCTCGCTCGCCCTTTCCAGGAGCGGGTTGTGCGGCACGTTGCTGCGCGACGCATTTGGCGATCATTTCCGCCAGCTCAGGGGTGGGCTGCAGCGGGTATGTCGTGACGCGGGTGGCTATAGGCAGCATCTCAACGGCGAGTATCCCAACGTCCTTGGGAATTGTGCGAAGCCAAAACATGTAGGGTATTAGACCAATTCCCAAACCATGGATGAAAACAATGGGACGTTGTGTCTTAGACTTGTGCGGGCGATACCAGTAAGACATGCCGTCGGCAGCGGAACGCTTGAAGGGGATAAGATTGATGAAGCGGAGGGGGAAGACTTTGAAGAATGTTGTGAATGGTTGTTTGTAGTGCCGGTATCCCTGTGTTAGGAGATAGAAGGCCATTAAGTTGTCGAGGAAACCGATGACCTGAGACCATTGGCATTAGCATCAAATTGGCAGGACAGTATGTGGGTTTCCCCCTTTATAGACCGTGGCAATCACTGCAAACGGGGATTAAGACGCTCACATACCACGTAGTAGAACAAACTGCGATGTCTGATGATCACCGGATCGAATGTAAGCCTCAATGCCTCTGCGTTACCTCTCCCAGGCTTCAGCTTTATCCCAAATTTCTCTTCGGCATCATCGATGTATCGCTCACACTCTTCATCAATCTCTTGGGTCGGCCTCTCGGTAGTGCCATCCCTCTCGAAAAGACCCCACAAGAGCCAGTCTTTGAGGTTTTCGCGACGTATGTCTTCGATGTGAGCGTTCAGCATCCATTTCCGCACAAAGTCTTCACCGTCTGGCACCAAACTCAGGGCCTTGTAGAAGAGCTGTGCCCGTTGCGATCGGCTCATTGGGGGTGGTCTGTAAGGCTTGAAGCTTTGGAGGTACCATTTGTAAGGCAAAAAGAAAAATAGGTAAAAGAGAATCTCGATCGCTCCTATCACCTCAATGACGATGGAGAATGGATGGACTATGGCTGGCACGCCGCCTAGTGCGAAGATCGCGTAGAAGTATGTCAGACATAGAAGCCCCAAGTCCTTCATCAAGACGATGAGGATGCGTATGGCTATGTATTGTGGCCATGTTTTCTGGACGATCATTTTGGAACGGAAGAGATTTTCGAAAGCGGATCAGAGCGCCTCGTATGCGGTTTGTATTTTCTATCGACTTTCGATCGTATCGTCGATTTACTTAGCGCCGTAGTGTCAGGCTTAACGAGCCGTACGCTGTGATTTTTCTCGCATTTGAAGGTTGCCGCTAAAGCCTGACCGGATCTTTTAGAGGGGAACCGTCGACTCAAAAGGCCGTCGAAAATGCGTCACATCCAACCCTCTTTGCAAGTTGCTTACTTGTCGCAAATCCGGCCGAAATGCCAGTGACGTGTAACGGAGGCAAAGAATCAGACGCGGCCAGGGAGGAAACTTGAAAGAAAACGACGCTTCCGTATCCGTGTTGAATAAACGGCGGATGAGGGGTCCTTAACTTGCCATCGGGGTGGATTCTGATCGGCTGTCAGTCTTTGGCATTTTGCATGATGATGCCGGCCACGGTAGTTTCAAAGCCACTGCCGCACAACGGATGAGCTGATGACAGCTTTCGGGACCTCGCCGCGTCGACGACTAGCGTCGTGTCTGCTGTCAGCCTGCCGTTGTCACCGAAGATTACATGAGCCTTCCTAGGGGGTCTTTGTCCCGGCCGATAGAAACGTAAAACAATTTATAGTTCAAAAGACAAAACAGGCAATCGAAGAGTTGGCCCTAACAACGAACAAGTTCGGCCCAAACCGAGCATGTCGGACCTTGCCGGCATGGATGGCTGTCGGCTGCGATTGTATGGCCAAGTCTGGAGGCTGTCTTGGAAACAAAAGGCTCTGGATTGGATGGGAACGTCCCAACTTTGTCCGTGTCGGTGTCATCGTTCATGTAACATCCAAGTCCGGCCGTGGGTCATCCCTGCGTCTGCGAGGTCTGAGCAACAAGGTGGCTCGGTGAGCGCATGGATCGCAGCCTGTGGGATGAAAGACCGTGTTCGTTCAGCGAGTTCGCATTATGGGACAAATTTCCCCGCCGTCAAAGGGGAGAGAATCCACATGTTCATTCCCTTGGGTATATTGATGACACCGCGGCTGAATCGCAACATGTGGTCTTCGAAGATCCAGCTCTCGCGTCCAGCACGCAAGTGGGCCCAGAGGCTCAACTCGTCGCATCTTCTTTCAGATTGAATGAAACTAGATCTCAACAAAGAGATCGCAAAACCTGTGCCTCGGTTCTTTTTGGTTCAAGACAACTGCAGGCTGCAGTACAACGATCCTGATACCATGCAGCCAGATGTATTGCATGCAAAACATATTCCCCTAATCGGTGATCGGGTGCCGGGCTTACGATAAGCCTAAGGGTTCTTCTGCCATCGCATCCTCTATTGGATCACGACATCTTGATCCGTGGGTTTTAACCTCTTGGTATTCAGTTAGGCTTTGACAGGTCACATCAACATCTTGTATGCAAAGCGAAAGTCTCGATCGCATCCAATTTCAGAAAACTTTGGTAAAGCAATTAATGTCTATTAGTTTTGCTATTCTATCCGCCTGGCTTTTGTTCGCACTGGGTATGTAGGGAGCTTTCCAATTAAGCAATAGGGCAGTTGATGTTGCTGCAGAATAGGTCAGAGCCCGCTCAAGTAATTGGGGAATATTCGTTATAGCACTTACGTAGCGTCGTGGCCAGTGATTCCGAAAGGAGCCTTTCCATCGACGGTGCACTTGGCGAAGACACCGGGGACGAGCTGGCTAGAGGTGGTACCGCAGTCAAGGTGCCAGGTCTTGGTCTTGCCAGGAATGTCCTCGTCGTGGCCGACGCTGATGTACTGGTCGACAATGCCGTCACCGGAGAAGTAGCTGGTTGATTATTAGTCGCCCAGCATATACAAAGTGCTAACAACATGGCCATCACAGGAAGTGAGCATGTTGCTACTGAACCAACTCACCAGCCGTAGATGACCTGGCGGCTCTCGAGGGCGGGGGCAGCCTGGGCGCCAGCCACAAGAAGGGCGGCAGCGATGGTGGTGAAGGCACGCATTGTGAAGAGTTGTAGTTAAAAAAAGGTTATAAAAGAGTGACAGTTGTATAAAGAACTCGAATTGTTGTAACGACGGTTGTGGTTGCAAGTTCATTTAGTCAACAGAGCGATAACACTAGGCTTCTTATACATAGAATCGGCGCTTATGTTGCTCGTATTTCGAGGATATCTTAGCATTTGAGTTTCCCCCTTACGAGTCCACAGTGGATGCAACGCGACTTTAGCGAAGCTTGCTGTTGTCATGCCGAGATCGACGCTGGGCAACTTCGACATACAGCTGGAATTGATTCCCGGGGAATCCGAGTGCAAAAATAGCTTGGCAACGGTTCATCCTGTCCCGAAGGCGATTAGTGTTTGATTATGTCCTCACTGCCACCTGCAGTGGGGAAGTTTAGAGAAGTATAATTGAATGGCTAATCTTGATCTGGACGTGACATCCTTGACAAGTCAAGCGCAAGCGGCGGCGACGCTTGCAATTGATACATTTGGGCGCAATGAAGGAATTATAGGATCAACAAAACCATATCACCAACAGATGCATCGATTTATTCATATCTACCAGCTAGCCTTCGACACATCAATTGAAACCAGTTCACTCGTGTTCGTGTCGTGTTTGGGGTGATCCTAAGGTTTCGAACCCCTAGGAACGGGAAGTCGGGGGTTTGAACATGACTCAGTGAGAAAGCTTCCGGCTTCTCCCAAATTGAGTTTTGCTCAAGCACACGCGGGTGACTCCGAGATCTTCATGAGCAACAATATGCGAAAATTGCAGTTCGTTGTCAACATCTCCGTTGCGCAACGGAAGGTCTTTATTCACCGCCGGCCTCTTGTATGGATGGGTTTACAAGTCTGGGATTGCGTGGTATTCGGCTTGAAAGGTCATGAGAAAACAGGCCATCGATACTCATTCAACATTCCAAGTCTCAAATTAACTTTTCGTGGTTGAATACGCAAACTCTGAGCCGGAGAGGCCGGCAACTTCCACGCCCACAACGCCGATATGGAAACACGGACGGACGATTTGAGAGTTGAGCGATATCTATGATGCAGAAAGTGCGAGCCATTGACATAGAACGCATGCAAAAAATGAATACACAGAGCGAATTAACTCTCTTATTGTCATTCACTGAAACCCACAACTCTCTGGATCGCATGTCTCTAACTCGAAAGATCGAAGACTATTCCGTAACTCGGGCTCCGAAGGTGGCCGAATTGAGAAAGTGGGGCTGCAATCCGGTCCCGAAAGCGACACGCAAGGTCGGCAGCGAAGGTCATTCTCATTTGCAGTGTAGATAAGCTCGGACGAAAATTATTGGCGTAGATATTCAGCATGGACTTCTTGTTGCATTCCAAGCATCGGCAATGCAACAGGACTAAGGGCTGAGCTAAGATATATCACGTTGGCGGCGATCGCTCCAGGAACTCAAGTGAATCGTCACCTGAACTACTATTGAATAACCCTGCTTCCTTCAACTTCCTCCGAAATTTCAATCAACTGTTCCACGAACTTCTCCACCTCGGTTATGATCGCAGAATGGCCCCTAGGATTACGCAATAACCTCTTTAAGTTCGGAATTGTGGATGCGATCTTCTGCTGAAGAGCTGGCGAAAGGCAAAGATCTTTCTCGCACAAGATGTAGTAGGTCGAAATATTCAATTCTTCCATGCAAAATGTGACAGGTCCAGCGAGAGCCGCCAATGACTGTGGCTCCCACATAGCCATGTACTTATTAGCCATCTCTTCTGACATATCAGGCTTGTAGAGAACGTCTTTGGCAGCCGGTTTGCCCACCACAATTCCATTGGTAACGCTCGTGATATCCAGCTCAGAAGGTATAATATCAAAAGCTCCACCACCTCTTGCCGCAGGTACGACTGCCGTGATGAAGACGACAGCAGCGATACCGCCTCTCTTCCCTTTTGCCTTTCGGTCTGCCGTAGAAAACCCTTGCACCGCCGCCACCATGGGTGTTCCACCATATGAATGCGCGACACAGAGAAATTCTCGCCCCTCTTCCAAGTGCGGGGATAGCTCTGACTGGATGTTGCGGGCGTCATCGTCCATGGTGATGGTCGGGTCGGTGCCGAGACTTGGATGACGGACAGCAATTACCGGGAAGAAACCGGCGGCTTCTAGACGGGCCTTGGTCGGATCGAAACAAGTCGGTGTGTGGATTCCGCCGTGGGCAAGCAAGATACCCAGCTTTCTCGGAGCTGCGGTGGTAGACATAGCAATAACAGACGTGCCGTCGGGCTCACTGCCGTCTTTGTCGCGGGATCGCCGATGAAAGGTATCAGGTTGTTGGACGAGTCAATGAGATGGCAGAAAAGCTTTAGTGGCTGTGTGATGCTCAGTCCTTTTGAACAAGTAGGGAAGAGATGGTTTTATTAGGCACTGGCTTGGACAGCGCTTAAGCTGATGAACGTGCTGTCAGAACCATTTGCCATGAATATGTTTGTCTTTATTCCGAATATGGCGCGTCCCGTGTCTATCATGCAGGGGATTGTTGGTTGCAAAGATGACTGCGGACCAGGGTTACCTTTGAGCCCTATTTCGGGCTGCGTCTCTGTCATTAAGATCAGCAGGAGATTGAAAAACCATTGAAAGATGGTGAATTCTGACCTGTGCCGTTATTTTGCTATTTTACATGTCGTCAAAGTGCAAGCAATTCAACTTTGCGTGTTTCGCTGCACCTCTTCTGCCATATAAGTCAGACTCGGACGATTTGAACACTTGATGTATGGCCCAACCGCTGAGGTTTTCTCTAATAGACAACCAGTTAGCAACTTTGCCCAGATTGCGCGAGGTTGTCCGAGTCTTCAGCCCTACAATTGTGGTGACTGGTTTCGCCATTGACATTGAAGATCAGGCCTGCCTTGACTTCATTTTGTCTTCTTGTCCCAGTTGGGCTGAAGAGTGCTGTTTACAAATCTGCTTGAAATGTCGCGCTGTGACAAGGGCTTTGATTGGGTTTCTGTGCAGTCTTTTTGCGAGACAGCCAATGCGCCTCGCCCTACTGATCATGTGCTCCTGGTGCCCGTTCCAACAAGAAGCTGCACCATCTCACCCTGTCATCGCGTACCGACGTCCAATGGGAGCCTGACAAACAAAATGGTTTCTTGTTGGGCCACACCAACCCTGTAAGCATGTGGCAGTCAAGACGGGGTGATGGCAAACCGACCCTAATCCAGACTTCAGAACCGATCGGCCCCCTTTCCTTAATCGGAGCCAAAAGGCGAATCCTGAAATGCGATGAGCGTCTAAAAGACATGGTCTTCCTCGAGTCACCATCTTGCTGATATGATATCTCCATTGTCAATTCGACGCCCCTCTCATGATGGACATCGATTCAAGACCTTCGAGAGAAAGCGTTGCGTGGGCTCTGATAGTTCCGCACGCAATACTCAGCGTTGTTGCCACCGTCTCGGTAGGCGCCAAACTGCATTTTGGCCGCGCCAGCGGATCCCATTTTAGCGCTACAGATGGTGTTTGCCTTGCAGCGTTGGTAAGTACGATACGCCCTCAGATTCTTGTACTTTGACTGACGGAGATTGGCGTTGGAAGTTCTCCAATCATGCGTTTCTTATCACCGAAGGGGCTTGTAAGTGTTCAGCTTCATCCAACAAAAGAAAAATTGGGGTCATATTCAGACTAACGATTCAAATCAGCGGTTCACTTTGGTCTTGGAAAAGACTTAGCCACAGTTGGAGCTAACTATCCTGGCGGCATACCCCCTGTGTTGATCGTAGGTCATTTGGCACCTCTGATTCAAATTCTTGTGGATCACGGAATATTAAAAGTATTCAGGGCATCACCGCCATGGGCATCGTATACGGCATAGCATGCCCTCTCTCCAAACTTGCGGTTTTTGCTACGTACTTTCGACTCTGCGCAAGTTGCAAAGGACTTCGGATTTGCGTGTGGATTCTGTCATTCATGGTATTAGCATGGGGAACTGCCATGATTCTTGGCACATGTCAGTATGATCGCCGTCTGCTGTGATTGCAATCAACTAATTTTGAAACAGTATTCAAATGCACGCCTGTCCAAGGGTTCTGGGACAAGACTGTTCCAAGCATTTGCTACATAGGCACCGAGGTTGGCATTGCTACCCCAAATATCTTCATTAACGCGTTCGCCACTGCGCTACTTCTTATGGGAGCTTTCTGCCAGTTGGAGTTTGGAAGAGAAAGAAATTTGGCAATGGCGACAATTCTGTTGTTTGGCACTGGGTAAGTGACCCAGAGTCGCCTTTGCGTTGACCGGAACTCACATGACTGACAATTTGTTTACTTCAGCATTGCGGCCGCTTCCATCGTTCGCCCAGTCCTTTTCCATGTCTACTGCCTGGGATCTGGTGCCAGCAATGGCGGTAATGCCACCAACATCAGCCGAGTCATCGTTTACCCATACATTGGGTCATGCATCGAAACATGCCTGGCCATCATTGCCACCACTCTCCCTGTTTGCGCGCAAATATTGAAACGATATATCTGCAGTAATTCCGAAGAATTCTCGGGTTCAAAAAGCATCGATTGTACCAGCCAAAGATCCGGACACTCAAGGAAGGCACACAGCGTCAAACCTTCTACCTACTCAAACAGTACTCGCATCACCATAGGCAACACTTCCAAGGCCCGCAATACGGGCGGTGTCTTAGCAGCTGCTTGTGGTAAACACAAGCGAACCAGGGAGCTAGGCAGTGATGCCGACATTGAGGGTTCGTTTGAGAGACTAGAGGATGAACCGCGGAGCTCACAGGCATCCACAAAACAGCTGTACTCTGATAGTCGAGAACTGGGCAACATGGAGGGTATACAGGTCCAGCGCGAATTCCACATACAAGTGGACCGTGAGTCGAGGGTATTGGCTGATGATATTAAGAATTGGGTGGTTGGTGATATTGCTTTGAAGGAAATATCAACTGCTGGAAAAAGATCGGATACATGTACTGAGCGAATAGCTTTGCGGTCACCTCTGTAAATGCACCTTTTTCCCTCAGTCTTGGAAACTTCGGAGCATGAGTCTTTGCTTTGATTTCAGACCGTGGAGATTTCAACCCCGGCAAGATCGCTGTAATGCAAGCTTCTCTTTGATTTCCATGCAACATGATGATGATATGCTTTTACCGGATGTTTATCTCCTTCATTCATTGGATTCATAAAATAACTCAGAATGACATTCGTGTGTGTAAAGAGATTAATTATAGATAGACCTAGGTAGCCGAACTTGAAAAATCCAACCATTGGACCTTCAGAACTACGAAACGAGCGGACGCTGGAAAACTCGAGGGCATCCGTACGAGAGAGTTATTCAGACGGTATAACCGAAGAAAAAGAAACGAAATCATCTCCTTGCAACCCTTGTATCAGCACACAGCACGTCTTTCCGAGTGCCTCGCGCTCTCTACGACGCCGGAATCGCGTCTTCCGCACAGTTGGCGAGAACACTCTTGGCGCCACTCAGCTTCCGAATCCCGCCCTGTGAAGCGCTGTCGAAGCAACGGTCGTTCTTTGCTCCCTTCATCCACCACGTAGTGGCCGTTCCCTTGCAGTCGGCATCGCTCCAGAACTTGAGCACACACGTCTGCCCGCTGGGGTCGTACACCTGCGCCGTGATGGTGCTGGCCGTGGGTATGTTGTGGCACTGACCAGGCGTGATGAGCGCACCGAGCTCAACCGAGTTGCGGCAGCGGACTCGCGGAAGTTCGACATGACGAATTGTACGCTGGTGCGCTTCGAGATCTTGCCGGCCTCAGCTTGTATTTCGGACAGGCCTGGGAGTGCCGAGACAGAGGTGGCTAGAGCGACGAGGAGCACAGCGAGTTTCATGTTGGCGAGCTAATGGATTCGTTAACCTTTCGAGCCTTGAATTCAGATGGTCTGCAGATGATGTAGACTTACCATTTTGACGATGTTGTGTATCTGGAAAGCATGTCAATGTAAGCTGTGTTGGCCTGGAGTTGATTGTCTGTTCCAAGAGCTGCTTGTTCTTGCTGGATGCAGTGTGATGGAATGAAGCTGGAGGTTAAGCAATGGAACACTCTCTCTCCCCTTTTGTAGTCTTCGTAATTTTGTGCTCTCTGCTGTCTCATACAGAAGAGACTGTTCGTATTCGCTCCAGATTCAGGTACAGGCACGGTAACAGATGTTCTTGATAGCCTATTGAGGTCGCTTGTGTCTCGTGTTCTGGATACAGGATTGGTGGAAACACATAATCTCGGGGAGATTCAGATACACCTGTTGCAACTTGCCAGCTTTCAGCTTTGCGAAAGAAGTCAACCGCACGGCGGTATTGCGGCTGATATCATTACGACTTGACATCCTACACTGAGCACACCAGTCGTAATTTTGGTACAAACGTCAACCTACATCGTGCATGTTTGCTTGGGTGTCTTAGACATAGCTTACTCTTCCTCTCTGCGTGAAAAACCTAACACGAATTTGATGGAGCATTCTGAAGAATAATAGACTAAACGTGAGTCCAAACTCCACTACGAGGCCAAAGGAGACGACTGCATATCGAAGAGGGTGCAGACAACAAAGGACAATCAAGATCCACGTCATGTCACATAATCAATAGAGCTTTCTTAGGTTTAAGCGCCACGAGTGAATGTGTGAAGCACAACAAGTATAGCTAGAAAGTAGGCTATCATGACCAGCTGAAAAAGCAAGGTGAAACCTAAAGCTTAAGAAATCCATATCATCTGTTCGCGAAGCAAACAACAGCCAATCTAAACCCGACTCTGGCAAGCAAATAGCCTAACAGGTGCACGTTTTCCCACACACCTCGAATGAAATGCGTCCTCAACCTTTTGTCCGCAATACTAGTGCCTGCAGCCGATGGCGAGGTTCCGTTGCTCTATATGTCGCTTACTCGGCCACATGTCTTGCATGGACCTGGGGAAGGCGAAGCCAGACCCGCCAGAGACGCGAGATTCCTTGCTGATCCTCAAACTAGTTGTCTCTATAAAAAAAAAGAAGGAATCGGGTGTATGCAAATAATATGTCGCAAGACCGACCATACGTCTTATTCAGACTAGGCAACAAAGCACCCATTTCCATTGTTGGCGCATCAAGTTTGAGCATCGAATACTAGGATGTGGACTCGACTCAGTTTCGTCATCACAGACTCAATGGGGGTACTCGAGTGTTTATCTCCAAATTTTCCTACGACAAATCCTCCTCTGCTGTGCCAATGTGCTCCAAATTTCGCTCGATGCTCACTTGAATTCCATGAAAACGTATGACATATGTTCGTGATCTAACTATGCTGGCTGACGGATGTAAGAATAGCAACTCCAATTGCGCGTTTTCTCTTGCAAGATCGCAAACCACGAGCTTGACATTCGTTCGCATCACTACACCGCCGCTCAGGACACTTGTGGCCATCGTCGTTGCCGTTACCCGAGAAAGAGTGTATTACCCGCTATCAGCGGCTACACCCCCCGGCAACGATCTAGCTTATCATATCGTGGACTCCTCATAAATCCCAACACCTAACTCGACAATCTTCCAAATCGGCAGTTCTTATCGGCCAAGCTAGGAGCTAGAGCTCCCAAAAGAGATAAGCTACCACGCCGAGCTTCGAATTCCCCTATCGTTACATTCGGCTCCTAGCCTTTGGTCAGAGGCAAGTTTTGGACCCTTGAAGTCGAAGCTTATCTCCGACCCCGGGATAACAAGAGTATTGACCAGAATGCAACTCTCGACATATTGGCCGGCATTCTCTTGTATATAAAAACAAACCCCCGACCCACCGCTATTTTCCCCAGAGAAAGCTTATTGCGGCACATTGCGAGGTCCTCCGTGAAGGCCAACAACACCCCTTTTTTTGTTTCGCCCTCGCAAGCAGGACGTCATGGCGCCTCCCGCAACCGACGACAAAGTCAGCCCTCACGTATCCGACGGCCAGGCCGACGTCGCTTCGACCAAGGGCGAGATCGAGGAGACCCACGATGTCTTTAGACAGACCGAGGATGGCGTCCAGTTTCGGACGGTCAGCTGGCAGAGGGCCACGATCATCTTCTGCAAGATTCAGTTCGCGATGAGCATTCTGAGTGTTCCGGGAGCCTTTGCGACGCTGGGAGCTGTTCCGGGTGCCGTGTCTCTCGTGGGATGGCACGCCCTTAACACATGTATGACGGTCTCCCTAAGCAATCGCCATCTCTTCGAGTCAGACTAACACGAATGATCCAGACACGGCCGTTATCTTGGGAGAATTCCGCAACCGCCATCCCGAGTGCCACAGTAAGCTACCCATGCGAACATCTCCTCTTCCTCTCTAACATCTTTCCTTCCAGCCCTCGCCGACATGTGCGGCCGCCTCTGGTCCCGCCCCGGCCGCGAGCTCGTCGGCCTCCAAATCCTCGTCGCGCAGGTCCTCATCTCCGCCGCAGGCATCGTCTCCATCTCCACCGCCTTCAACGCCGTCTCGTCCCACGGCACCTGTACCGTCGTCTTCACCCTCCTCGGCGCCATCCTCATCACCGCCTTCTCCTCCGTCCGCACCTTCAGCAAGCTCGGCTGGCTGACCTGGCTCGGCTTCACCACCTTCTTCGTCGCCGTCTTCGTCTTCGTCGTCGCCGTCACGAAACAGGACCGCCCCGCCGTCGCCCCGCAAACCGGCCCCTTCGAGCTCGGCTGGACCGCCGTCGCGCACCCCACCTTCGTCGCCGGCATCACCGCCAGCGCAAACATCTTCATCAGCAACAGCGGCTCGTCCATGTACCTGCCCGTCATCTCCGAGATGCGCCGGCCGCAGGACTATCGCCGCGCGGCGCTGGTGACTGGTGGATTGGTGCTGGCCATGTATCTCTCCTTCTCGCTGGTGATCTACCGCTGGTGCGGCGTGTGGCTGGCCACGCCGGCGTTCGGCAGCGCAGGCCCGCTGTTCAAGAAGATCTCGTACGGCATCGCGCTACCGGGACTCATCATCGGCGTAGGAATCTATCAGCACGTCGCGGCCAAGTACATCTTCGTGCGGGTGCTTAGAGACTCGCACCACCTGCAGGAGAACACCCTCGTCCACTGGTCGACGTGGATCGGAAGCAATCTAGTACTTGGAATTCTGGCCTTCATCGTTGCCGAGGCCGTGCCGATTCTGAACTACCTTCTGGGTCTGGCGGGCGCCATCTGCTTTGCGCCGTTCAGTCTTGTCTTCCCCGCCCTGCTGTGGATGCAGGACTTTTCGAGCTACAAAAGAGGCAGCATGAAGCAGAAGGGTGCATATGGCTTCCACATTCTCATTGTACTGGTCGGCTTGTTCATGGTCATCGCTGGAACGTAAGTTTGCCCTACATGCCTTTTGAGACGGCAAGAAACTGACATGAAACTGTAGTTATAGCGTGGCCGTGTCTATCAAGGATGCCTATGCGTCGGGCTTGATTACGAAGGTCTTTGACTGCGCTGATAATTCGGCCACTATATCTTGATATGGAAAGCTTCTCCATTAAAATTCAGAATTTGACACGCGAGCATTTGTCACGAATGAGATTGAACGAGAGTATGAGCAAGGAATGAAGTATGTTAATCGGTAGAAGTACCAGTAAGAAAGATAATGCAAATATGTCCAGAGTCCTAAATACCCGTTCCGCCAACTATGCAAATCAAAATCAAACGCCGTTATATGCAATATCCCAATCCGAACCCATCACACCTTACTGCCATTTCCAAAAAGCCACGTCCCCGAAGACTTAGATGGGGCACTGGTCGCCCTTCTTGATGAAGAAACCGCCCTGCTCAGACGCAGTAAAGGTGACGTTGATATCAACATCCGCCTCGCCGTCGTTCGCAATCGCAAACTCAAACGCCACGTTGTCCGCGCAGGTGAAGCTGTTGATCGTGACGAACGTGTCCTCGACGACGACGTTGTTCTCGACCTTGAGCGGGGGGAACGAGCCGACGAGCGCACCGGTGGCGACGTTGCGGACGTCGAGGCGCGAGAATTCGGCGCCGCCGAGGTCGATGGGGAAGCCGGCGTTGAACTGCCCGATGAGGGAGCAGGGGCCCGAGGCGGAGGGCCCGACGGCGAAGGAGAGGACCTTCTTGACGACGACGCCCGAGGAGAGGTCGGCGACGCCGAAGTTGGCGTCGTTGGCGCCGATGCGCTCGCAGGGGGCGCCGGTCTGGCGGGCGGCGAGGCGGGCTGCGCGGGAGGAGACGGAGGCGGCTGTGGCAGAGCCAGCGGCCAGGGCGGCGATGAGGATGTTGGTGATCTGCATTTTGGCGGTGGATGGTATGTGGGGTTGAAGTGTTGGAGAGTGTTGGTAGAGGAGCTTGGAAGCGTTGGATATTGGATTGAAGTGTTGTGGAAGTTGTTGTTGCTGATGATGAGAGAAGCAGACAGACTATTGACGAGGACGTCTTTCTCCTTTATAGATTCCCAGCCCTTGTATTCCATGAAAGCCTTCTTCTGCTTCCATCACCCTGTAGCTAGACAGCTAGCCGGGAGGATGACGTCCAGCTGGGCGTTCGGGCTGTGTCCTCCTCCCCCATCAGCACCACCAGGCGCACAGCTGTCATCCCGAGAGACATCGTGGCAGAGTTCCCACTCCCGACCTCTCAAGAGGGCCCAGAGATTCGGGTAACGTGACAATCTCACCGACCCAAGCCTCTCCCGCCTCCGACAGGAAAAGCAGCTCAGCAAACGGCAGTCAGTCGACGTTAGCATGCATGCCCGTAGCACGGCCAGCGCCTCCCCGACGGGTTCGGGAGGTAGGTAGGCTAACGCAGTTTGGTCTCCACCTCCCAGCCTTACTGAGATCTGACGCTCTGTTGTTGATGGGGGGAAAAGAAAGTGTGCTCAGATAATCCGCAGCTAGCTGCTGTTGATCCCTCCGGCTCCGAGCTGAGGCGGGAAAGCCAACACCTCGTCCCAGCTTGCCAAGAGCTGCTCCGCCTCCGGGCATACCAGCCAGCTAGCTGCTTTCTTACAGATCAGCTAGAAAGCTCTCCGTCGTCCAAGATACTACCGCAGTCGGAAGCACCGCGAACCCGGGTATCTCAATTGCCGCGCTGACGCGCTTGCTAGACGCTAGCGCGATACACACGGTGAGAGGCGTTGTTCCCGCAGCTTCGCTGCCTTCCTTCCTTCCCCAGACTTTTCTAAATTTAAGCATGGCTGACGATTGGCGACCTTATATCGCGGATCCCACAGGAATGGAACGTGACAGCCCTTCTTGTCCCTCTTTCGGAGACATATGATGGTTGGAAAGGGTAAATGTCAGATTTGGACGTTCCATCAGCGCCAAGCCTAACTTAAGATCAGAGCAACCTCGATGAAGAAAAAGGGAAAGGCCCGCCGGATTGGACGAACGACCGCGCACACACAACACGTGCGGGGCGCAGCACTAGCGGGAGTGCCAGCAAGTTTTCCCTGCCTTCTGTTTTCTCCAACCTGGAAATGATGAGAGCAATCGCCTATTGGCGGAGGATCCGGATTGGTCGTGGTCATCGGACCGGGAAACCTGGTTTTTGGAAGGCTTCGTCCTGTCGGTTCGCGAGATATCCTTGCTCATGATGCGTGAGAGAAAGGATTCCAGAGAAATAAGAAGTATTTCAGGGCTGAGAAACATGTTGGGCTGAGTGTAGCTGAAAACAATGCGCCAGTCGAGGCTTCATGATCAAAAGGATACGAGGCTCTTGCTTGTTGGCAACTTTGGCCATGTGATGTCGCTTGCAGCCTGGTGCTTCCAAAGTGCAGATCCCTATGTGGCCTTGGAGAGCACTTGCGCAGGGTCAAGACCGACGATGCCTTCCTACGCCGCTTGGCATCTCTTTCATAGGACGGTATGTCGTATCCTTCGCTGCTGACAAGGCTCTCGAACGGCTGGAAGTTAGGCGAAAGGGTCGTCTCACGGATGAGATGAACTTGAACACAAGGTTTGCCGTCGTCCCTCGTTACCCAAATCGGGCAATGGACTTGTCCAGCCTGCAACGACATCGTTCCGGGTTTCCGGCAGCGAGACATGCCGCGAATATTTCTGCCCTTAGGGATCCGTCGCGGGGAAAGGTCGTCACACAAGGGGCGCAGATCTGGAAGCCTCGTCGAATTGCTGCCTCGCTGGACCGACTGCTCGCGTCGACAAGTTCGGAGTAGTCTCGAGCGCAAAACATGATTGAATGCTTCAGGTATCATTTTGAACAGATGGCTATGCTAAACTTAGCAATCGAAAATTAAACACAGGAAAGGCAGCTGCGCGTATCCATGCCACTCGCTAGACGAGTCGAGGATGGCGTCGTGCTGACCAGGATCCGCCAATGTCTCACTCCTAGGTGTCTGAGCCGACCCGAACAACAGGCCGCACCGACCCATTGATAACAAGGAAAAAGCCTCGCCGCTCCTATGCTCGTTGTTGCTCGCCGCTCAGTTTGCTCATCTGACTTGCCATGCTCAGGCCGGTGCCTTTCCGTGTCTCGAGCGCCTTCGACCACCTCTTGTTATCCTGGATGGGCTTCCCTGACCCCGTCAGGCCCAGCACCTCCATCAACTCGGGTATTTCTGCGTGGTCTCGGGTGGATCGCATGCGGTGGCACCAGGTAACCTTCTTCTCTTCCTCAACGTAAACGCCGTCATCGCCGCCCTCTCCGTCAATGCCGTCTTGGCTGATGTCCTCTTTTTGCGAGTTTCGCATTGCTTGTTCGAGTTGTCGTTCGACGAATGGCATTCCGACGGGGCTCATGAGCTCCACGGGCTCGAACAGGAACTCTCCGCCGACCTGCCTGTGGTCGCCAGATTTGGTGGCCAGGCCGGCCTTTACTTGCTTCAGCCCCTGGAAGACGCTCTCCGCGGCCGACTTGAACATCGACTTGCGCATGTAGGCTGGTCGCTCACCCAGGGCGAGGGTGCGTGTCATGCCCAGGTTGTCGAACAGGCGCCGCGTAGGGTCTGTGTAGACGGGAAATGGGCAGCCCGTCTCTTGGAGGTACATGTCTATCAGACCTGGGTTGCCGCAACCGACGACAGCGATAAAGGTGCTCATGGGCAGGCCAAGGAGGGCATCGGGTGTTATAGACTCGGACAGGGTGCGCAGAAATTCCTGGCAGTTCTAGGCAGGTTAGCACGAAATCAAGACACAGGCACGGTTGACGGTTGAGTTACCCCGCAGAAGAAATGGCGGACGAAGATGATGAGGACACGCCTTGCGACATTGCGTCCAGTGTAGAGGCTCTTGAAAGGGTGGCTCTTGCCATGCCTGTCCAGGACCACATAATTCTCAATCTTCTTCAAGGTCTCGGGGGAAGGCAAGTGGTTGTTAGTGGGGATCTCGCCCTCGAAGTCGACGGGTTTCGAGTTGTCGACTTCGATGGAGGTGCCGCGCGTGTCGCAGGCACAAGCACTCGTCGACGTCCTTGGTGATCTGGTACTCGTTGTCGTGGCGGTGTTAGGCGGCAAGTCTGCTTGTTGCCCAACCGGCTTCCTGTTCACCTTGAAGGCAGCGGTCGTCGGCGCCGGAGCAGGCGCGTCCGATGGCTTCTGATCGTTCGTCGCAGCATGACCGTTTGGTGGAGATGCCCCATTCGCGTTCTCAGCTGCTACGTCCGGACCTGATTCCGTGGTCGTGGGTGCTGGTTCGGATGCCGGTGCTGTCGTCTCCGCAGGGTCGGTTGTAGGCTTGGCGTCGCTGTTCGTAGGGACAGGATTGGCGGTCGCGGCCGCAGTTGGGGGATCTTGCGGCACAGTAGCCATGACGTCGTAGTCGGGTGGATTAAGCGGGATGGGATTTTGTGGTTTCGGGTAAGCGAATTACTCGGTGTCTCTCAGGGCGAAGAGTAGGTAAGCGTAGACTTTTATTTATGATGGCCAGTCGGCTGTAGAGATTCGATGGGTGGTAGAAAATAAAAGTTTGGAAGCTGATCGGGAGAAGAGACGAAAGGTGGTCTGAAGGAGGCGCAGCAGCTGTCACTGCCAGGATTGCTTTCGTAATGGATTGTCAAGACGATGGGAAGGGAAAAACGGAAGGGGTCGCCGCTGCGGCCAGAATCCAAGGCCTGGAAGGGAAGAGGGAAAAAAAAGGGTTCGGGTTGAATCAGGTTCTCAGCTGGCCGGGCTCCCTCTGCCGAGAAAGATGGCCAGGTTCTTGCAGTGCTGCGCAAGTTCCCTGCGCCAGGCCCCTCGATAGCGATAAATTAGTGGTAGGTCAAAGCCGGTAGTGACACGCCTGTCGCGCGCGGCTTGCAGTTGGTTGGCGAGTGCAGGGGTTGGAATGGGGAGATGGGGAGATCAAGCCAGGAGTCCGAGGCATCGGTGTCGTAAGTGCCTCGACGATCAAGGGGGACGCGAGGGGATGGGGGGGCGAGATGTGTGTTGTTTGCCAGCGCCACCCTCGATGGGCTGAGTTGGAGTCTTGGAGATGAACTGTCGGTTCACCGTTGGGGGTAATTAATCAGTCAGGCCCGGAAATTGGGGCTTTCCTCTGTCTTGCCAAGTGGCCTAGACACAATGGAACCTCTGCGGTAGATCTGGACGGACTGGCTCTTCAGGTAAGGTACACATGCATGGCATTTCGACTTCTCTTTGTGTGTTTCTTTCGCGATTTCGGCGCTGGAGGCCGCTGGCCTTAGCTCCTCCTCAGGGAACAGCACTGTTTCATTCGCGTATGAGGTCATGGTGGAGGCCCGGGCATATTTTGTGTCGTACCTTGTCAGGCAATGCCAGGGAACAGTCTTCAACTGTAATTGAGCCTCATTGCATGCAACACACACCACGTTTGCTGCATCATCCCAAGAAGACATGCAAATCACGATGTCTCCCAAGAATTGAACTTGCATCTAGAGGACTCAAAATTGTCCCCCGTTCTAAGCCATCCAACGTCGGGCCCGTTCCTGTCTCGCACTAAGACCAGCGTTGAGATTGTCTCGGGCAAAGCCACTGACGTCCCCCTGGTCAGGTAAGGTACGAATACGTACTGCGGAGTCCCGCGACTCACCGCGGGTGCGTTGTCACTATTTTTACCACCGCCAGCCCCCAAACCACAACGAGCACTGTTCACCAAGCCTGGGTCCGGGGCTCTGGAACCTCCGATGAGCGCCCCTCTCTGGAGCTGCGGACAGATTGTGAACGGGGCCGGCGGGCTTGAGAGCCTGAAAGTGGGCCGCGAATGCGCTGTAACTTGTAAGCTTGATTCTGCAATGTTCTGGATTGGCTGCTTTGCTGGCCAAGCTTCTTCTGCGTTTGGTTGTTTCCTGCAATGGTGCACAAACCACACCTTGGCGTCGCGAAGAGCAAACAAACTCAGAGATCATTTCAACTCATATATGTCGCTGCTCACATTGCTGATTCAAAGAGTCTGAAAACCGTGATGGTCTTGTCTGGGTAACAAATGTAATTTTCATAGAATTTGATCGCACCATAGAGTTATTGGTACTGCACATTGGCTGATGTAGGCCCACTCTGACTGTGTTGTAGAGAACCAAGGTTCTCAGTAGAGTCATAAACAGACCTCAAGTTTCTCAACATAAACCATAGACATGTATGGCTCACCAACATCATGTTGCTCCGAAATAAAAGTCATAGTAATAAATACATCGCCTGTAGGCAATCAATCGTGGCAATCCACTCAATTTCTTCATCCTCATCTTCATCCCCACAGCCGTCTTGACAATTGCCTTCCTCGACCACTCCACAACAAAAATCTCAATCACTCGCTCTTGCAACATGCTTTCGTTTTCCAAGATGCACATTCAAACTCCACAGCACGGCGCTCCCGCCGGCCAACCAGTGCGAGAGTCTCTCTACAATGCGTTCGACTCTAATATGAAGAAGATCGACCGCCAGGCCATCAGCCAGGAGTCGAAGATCAACAAGCGGTACGACGCCAAGAGAGCCCGTGCCGAGTCAAAATACAAGAACCCGGGTGTTTTTGACATCTGCATTCTCACCCGCAACCTCACTTCCAAGATGGAAAAAATTGAGCAAGCTCAAGAACGGGCACTCCAGAAGCATCAGTACAAGATCAAAATGAAGCGCTTAGCACAGGAGGAGATATTCTCCAGTCTTGCTCATTCATGGTTGTACCGGCTTTAATGGACAGACTAAAATCGGAGGAAGTCGGCTCGACGTACAGAGACAAGGCCTCCCTTCATAAGTTACTCAACATGTTTGCCAAATGCGTCGATAACAGCACGGTCTCAATAACCATCAAGACTTCAACTACAACGACAACTATGGCTTCAATTAACGTCGTTGATAAGCTCGGCGATCAGACAAGCTCGGCGATCACCTAACCGCAACCACAGCACATTTTCAACTAATAGGCAACACCAAGGAAATCAATTAAAAAGAAACTAATTAAGGCCCTCTTCCTCAGACATTTCTTCAGCAAATTGACATGTTCGTGCATTATGACCAGTGTTCCCACAGACGCCACATCGCCGTTAGCCCGTCTCAGTCCTCGGTCGGCGACCACTACTCCAACGCGTTTCCTCCTCAATCTGAGCTATCGCCTCTCTCTGCGACTGAAGGTCCTCAGCCTCAGCTATAGTAAGACTTCCTCCTTGTCTGAGACGTGTTTTCTTAGCCCTCCGGCGCCGGCTTAGTAGGTTATTTTCCTCACGAAGGATTTTGTTCTCAGACCTTAATAAGGCAATCTGGTGCATAAATCCATGCGCCCCCTTTGATAGATGCTCAACAGCTTCAATAATTGAAGTTAGTGAGCTATTCTGATGGCGAGAGATTCTCCTTTTGATGAGTTCGGACTGAGAAGATACTTCTGTTAAGTTGTTTAGCGTCTGAGAAGTCCACGTAGGGGGTGTTGTTGGGAGGGACCCTGGAGGTGTTGGAGTGTGTAACTTGACATCAAGCTTCGAAATCACACTTTCTGCACCCAGAGGGACAAGGCCAGCCCCTCTGAAGCCTCTCTGGATGTTTTTCTCTGTAAGGGCCTGTGTGAAGGCCTCGCGAAACGCAGGGAAGAAGTCTTCCTTTGTAATATGCGTATTACCCCGGCGTATCTTATCCTCAATTTGTCGACCATAAGCCTTCTTTAGTGGCCTAAAACACCCAACGTCCAAGGGCTGAAGCAGATGTGACGAATGGGCCGGCATACAGAGTGTAACAATATTGTTTTCCTTGCAATATATCTCAAAGTCGGTGGTGTAGTGACTTTTATGCCCATCGACAATGAGGAGGCGATAACTGCCAGTTGTACGCGATTTTGTATACCGATCAAAGTGCTAGAGCCAGTCTAGGCCTCTTTCATTTGTTGTTCATCCTTTTTCAGATGTTGCAATGACCCAGTCGCGTGGGAGACCTGTTTCCGTGTACCAGGTGGAGAGGTGATATTGGCTTGCGACGATAATATACGGCGGGACGCTATAGCCCGACGAACTAATAGCCTGAATAACTATAACCCATTCACGGTCACCAGGCTGCATCATTTTTGTATTTAAACGCCTTTCGGCACTTATGACAACCATTCCGGATGCAATCTGGCCCATCATAAACCTAGTCTCATCAAAGTTATAGATATCTGAGTCCACAATACCGTATTTCGCAATTGTGTTCGCCACAAGGTGAAACTACGCGTTTATCGCGTCTGGATCTTCGCATTGAGCCCTCTTATAGTCGTATTTGCGAAAAAAGCGCGTCCGGAGCTGTGGTTGTCGCTTGATGAAGTTTGAAGCCTAGCGCTTGCTAACTGGGGGCGCGTTACGGTCGGCAAGCAGTCGATTAGCCGTATCTTCCACACCACTAATCCGAGGAGGAAACGATCGGGAATCCAGATCCAGAATATACTCAACAAGCTTCTCCTCTTTAAACGCAGTCAAATTTCGCAAGCTAGGCATTATGTCGCGTCGTGACAGCTTTCCCTTAATTCGGTCGCGTAACGTTGAGTAGGGCACTGAGTAGATCCGGTATGCGGCTCTTATACTTAGATTTTTTGTTTGTTTGATTGCCTGGATAGCTAAGTTTAATTGAGCTTCTTTATTTATAAGGGACATTGCTGAGTGTAGTGTGATGTGTATGTAAAGGTAAAAGATTGGTTTGTCTGGTTGGGTGATCGCCGAGCTTGTCTGATCGCCGAGCTTATCAACGACGTTACAACTATGGCCTCAATTATGACTACGACTCAGACACGACTCAAACACAACTACAACTACAATATAGTTTGAACTACAACTATGGCTCTAATAACGACCACAAACTTCAGCAAGCATCCACCAGCAAAGAGCGTGCATCACATCATATCAAACATTCAGGATGGAGCTGCTCCCAAGAGCGATGAGATCGCAACAGACAACGATGGTCTGACACATTCCAATGAGCACCATCATCGCTCCCGATTTAATCCTTTGACCCTGTCGATTACTACATCGATGGAGCAACAAAGAGAATTACGTACGAATTACGAAGCACGAATGACGAATTATGAATCACAAATTACGAAGCATGAATTACGAACTATGAATCACGAAAGCCGCCTAGAAGGATACATCTTTGAGGGTCAGAAAGATGAGGAAGATCTCATCTTTTTCAGAGGATAGAGACTTACACAGTAATTATTGTGAGGTTGTCAAGACTTTTACCACTCGGCACAACTTCAGACAGGTTACAACCGACCTGTCAACCTAAGAACACCCTTCAGCAAGGCGACTTGGTAATTTCGGAACAAAGTTTCCAGCAACAAAATTATCAACACACAACGGTAGCGCAAGGACACCGAACACTCAACAACCTACCCCTCACTCTTACGCCTTAGGTTATCAAGTCCCCCGCCTCGCTGGCAGAAATCTCTTCCGGCATTCACCTCGCAGAAGCCCTTGGCAAGGGTCTCCCGCCCTGATCGGTGATCAACGTTTATTTTGGTTTTAACATCGGCGAGTTGGACGTGGGGAAAGATGGGGTGGGCGGGCTCACCGGACTGAGCTTCTGCAATAGCCCGCCCCACCGGAAACGCCGAGATGGTAATTTGCGGAGTGGGCTCCCGACACTTTAGACAATTTGATAGTCTTTACGATTAAATTGATGAAAAGTCTCCGTTACCTTCGCGGTGCCCGATCTGGGCTTGTGATGTGAAGAAACATGCCGAATTCAGTTTTGTAGTGAGGCCTTTGCTAGTCAGGCGGTTGGAAACCGCTCTGAGACTCTAGACTAAGCCACCCCTCTGTCGCAACAGGTCACTTGTTACTGGGCACTGCTCTACCCACCTTTGGCGAAACAGCCAGAGCCTCACCTCTGGTCCGGAGTCGCTATTGTTCAAAATGAGAATTGAACGGTTCATCGATTCTCGCGATGATCAATAGTCAGAAGGCAAACCTTGCCCGGGGAAAAGAAATTCATATTCGGGGGACACCCGATCCCATCAAGCGCATGTTTATCGTGATAACCAGTATGCGCATGCCCGCGCGAACGCCTTACAAAAATCCCAAAAGAGTCGTATGTTCCAAATCCGTCATGCCAGCCGTGGGCTTTTCATCCAACCAACTCCGCTCGTCCGCGACCCGTTGTCTCTGGCCCTCTCAAATCCATTGTGGGTAGCCCGGCCTGTCGCTCCTCGTCGCAGGCATTCCTGGCATGCCAGGCTGCAGCGGAATCACCTCCGTCTCAACAGCATCGACCTCAACCTTTTGCGGCAACATCTCAATCTGTTGCTGCATCTTCCTCTGTTCCTGCTCCGCCAAGAGCATCTTCTTGACCCGGCGCATCTTGACCCAGATGTACACAGCGAGGGCGATAGTCAGGACGAATGTCGCCCCGAAGACGACGTTCTTGATGGTGTTGTTGCCGTTCTGCTTCTTCTCGACGAGGAGGACGCCGAGGTAGACGAGAATGATCTGCTTCGGGAGCGTCAGGAAGGTCGAGACGGCGAAGTGCCAGAACTTGACGTCACAGGTCGAGAAGACTGCCGTCGAGAAGTGGGACGGGATCACGGAGAATCGGATAATGAAGACGATCTGAGGGTAGTGTTAGAATTGACCGTGTGATACTCCCCGAGTGGGGGAAGACGTACCCAGAAACCACCATCTCTGGTCAACCGCGCGAGGGCGCCGTAGTTCAGGTTCGTCCTCTCCAGCTTCTGAGCCTTGCGTCGCAGTGTGTACTTGAATGCGAACCAAGTTCCAACTGTCGGATTGATTAATAACCGTCAGATGCCAAATGCAGAGGAGCCAACTCACTTTCACCAATGAAGGTTCCTGCAGCCACAATCGCAAAACCAATCCATAGTCCATACACAACACCGCACAAAAGGGCGACGATCTCGTGTCCGAATAGCGGGGGAAACGAGATGAGAATCAAAATCGCAATCGGGATGAGGAATCCGCCGGGAATCTCTCGAACCTTTTCGGAGAATGGTCTCAGTTTCTGCGACGTAGTTATTAGCAAAGAAATTCCGTGATCGTCTTCTTCGACTGCGCCACGTACCTCCACGACCTCGTCATGGTGCAGACTGATGAAAATCGTAGCAACAAGAATGCCGATACCGAGGAGATGAAATGCTGCATTCAAAGCATCAGCGATAACGTCACACAAAATGCCCGCCATCAAGATCCCACGTACGGATGTATTTCGGTGTCAAAAAGATCTTTTTCCAGTTCAACGGTCGGTACTCAGTGAACTCCGGAACCTCGTCTTTCCTCTCGCCGTTTCTTCTAGCCATCTCGACGTCGGGCATGATACGATTTCAGGCCGACTTGTTGTGGGTTGATGGAATGGGGGGAGAGGCGATGAACTGCACGCACTCTCTTCTTTGACGCGACATGTACAAGCTCACTAAACATGCAAAGGGCCAAAGAGGTGCGACGGACCAACATGCATATTCATACAAATGAGGGACAAGGATGCCCACGGGCGCATATGGAATGGTAGGGAGACGGCGGGATCTGAAATCAATGCGAAACCGGAAAGCGGAACGCACAGCCACCAAGAGATCGGCCAAAAGAGGCAATAGTCAGTGCATATTATTCGCAGACGTCGTAGGCACTGGGCAGCGACAAAACCAAAATCGTTCCGGGGTTGCTCCCTGGAACGAAAAACCGTCAGCCGTTGGGGCGATGTGTCCAGCGGCCAACGGGAGAATCCCCCACATACCTCTCTTCTTATTTGCTTTTGAGGTAGGCCGGGGGCGGGCATGTTAACCAACAGGCCGTACCCTGACGGACATCAGGAGAGAACGTCGGAGGGATAGACAGGGGGCGACTCAAGAGTGAGGCGCGGGCGGGTCCCAGTTCTTCTGACGATGTGTGGTAGTATCGAATTCTGAGAACGTCACGTTTTGTATGAAGCGCCCCGTTTCGCGCACGGCGCTATATCACAAACATGACGAGTTCAATACCAAAGCCGCGAGTAGTACGAAGAAAAAAACAAGGAGAGACAAAACCGACCAACCCCCACGTGGCAAGCCCGTTCCTAGCGTTTCAAACCTGGCCGATCTGATCCACCAAAACAAGCACTCTTCGGAGATCATAAATTCCCCGGCAGGAATGGCCTCCCTACAACGAACCAGGTTGCTTGTCTTAACCTGCCCTATTCCGATAAGCTTGAAAGAATTTCTCCTGACAGTTGAGGGAAGCAGATGCGACTTCGCCGACCGGCTGACGGGCACCATTTTGTTTGTCCAATGTTGATGCCGAGCTTGAGCTTGCGACGTGCGGCCCAATGGGTTCGAGTCGTCGGACACCATGACGGCACCGAGATGCCCGCTTATTGATGGTTGATGGACAGGGCCCATGGGTAGAGTTGCGGGCAGCGGAAACTTTCTTCATCGTGTTCCAATGCCATTAGCTGAGGTTGCAGACAGCACTGCGAGCCTGGTTCAGGAGACTAGGACGCGCCGGCGGGAAACGCGGCACATCAAGCTGGATCACAGTAAGCGCTTTCAGCTACGGACTCACACTCTTGTTCCTGCGTTGTGCCAATAAGATGAAGACATTGATGGTACAACAGCGGGCTGTGAGGCCTGAGTGAGGACCAGCGCACGAACGCGACCAAAGGGACCAATACATAGACTTTCTGGGCCGCGGGTGCCAGAGCCTCATCGCGGCTGGGGCTGCGGCCGTTCCCTCCCTGCTTAACGTTTGACCCAGCAGATTCTAGCATAGCAAGCGTAGGGGAGGCAATGATGCCTTTTTTTTTTGACTTGACGGCCTGTCTGCCCGCGCGGCGCGCGGAACACGTTGCCCCCCACCCCCATGAACTCTCGACATGCCTTTACTCTAGTATCTACCTGCGAAGCTATGCGATATGCTTTCTGAACGTCAGCAAGCTGTGCGGCTAAAGCTACGTCAAGGATTCTAATCGCCATAGCTTCTTTGGTTCTTCTGCCTATGGACGCCATGTTCCGACTCTGCAGATGTAAGTTACGGACGCTATCTTCCGAGCCGACATGTATGCATAGTACAGAAATTCTAGCCTTTAAAGGGTGGCACTAATGTTTCTTGTGAACTGTTGATCGCCGTGGCCAGGACCCAGCCCTCTGGGTTGACACTCGTATTGCTCGCAACTCTGAGCTTATGATCACTCGGTTTCGCTCCATCTACGTGGTGGGTGTCTTGTTGATTTGATGATGTTATGTCATTCGGAAAAATCAATATTACGCTACTTCACGCGCCTTCCATCAAAGCAATGTGACGCCGGTCAGATGCAAGTCCGATGGCATGCATCACGTCATGTACAGTCGACAAGATGCCAAGACATCCAAGCCACCCGATCTTGGTATTTGGAGGCGCAACGGGCCGTTGTGCTTAGCGCTGCAATGCATCCGACTATTCTCTCATGGACGAACAACATGCTTGGCAAGCCAGACTTGCTGATCACTGCATATGGCCTTCCCCTGAGGTACCTTGGGGCGCAGAGAAAGTAGGACGGCGTACTTTTGATTCTTGTGTTCATCTATTTCTCCAATAAGGTATGGGCTAGGCAAGTTTGTTGCACTGATGGATGCCTTGCAAAAGCCATGTTTCCGTTTGAATTGACACTACCTTGACCGCAAAAGAAAATGCAAAAATTTAAGAGCACGTATTTCGGACCTGAGCTAATGAGATTGATTAGCCGACGATGTTGGTCGGTCCATGGGCCGGCCACTGGTCTCTGTTCGAGGTCGCATGCAAGCGCCGGGCAACCCACAACTTCTAATAATTGGTTAAGTACCCAAAAAGAAAGATCAAGAGGCCTCCAGTAACTCGAATGCCAGGATGGTACCCTTAGCAAAACTGGAAGGTAATTACATGGCCTGATTCGCATCCAATTGCCAACGCCGACTCTCTTACAACATAAGCGCCATTCCACGGTCGATATTCTTCGGGCAGCCATACTATTCTAACCGTATCTTTCATTATCCATTGCCCCTCAATATGGAAGCCCTGAAGCGTGGATTTGGAAATCCGAGCGAACGGCTTCCTAGAATCAAACCAATACACTGTTTCATTGTTTGTCGTTGGTGCCGTTAGGTCGATAGTACCAGTACTGGTGTGAAGTTCCGATCCTGATACGGAGAACCACTGTGCGAAATTTGGTATGGAGGGATATGGTGAGAAACTTGACGTTGACGTTGAAAAGGTTCGTGATGAGTGAAGCCTCGGAGGGAGTTTTGCTTCACGTATGCAAAACTTCCACATGCATTGACCTGTGTTTGGGCACCGAATCTGAATAAAACTGTCTTCGTCAGGTCCACGAGAGTACGAGATCGCGAGCCTCGTCGCATCGTCTGAGAAGACCATTTCATTCACGGGCCCACAGCCATACAAATTTCTAAGATATGAATTCTCAATTGCATTCCATATCTTGACTTCAGAGCCACCTGTTGCGGCAAGAAGAATTTGATGATCTCTCGTAAGCGCTGCTGTTGCCGTTGACTTAACCCACGAACAAGCCCATGTGTCGGCAATGCGAAAACATTGCAGCCATCGGCCACTCCTCGTGTCCCAAACATCGACGATTAGCTGGCCTTGGCGAACTGAAATAGCTTTCTGGCCATCGATGGAAAAGTTGACGGATTGGACGGGTCCAGTCGACAAGACTCCGCGGCCATAGAAGCTGTCCGTCATGTCTGATCCAGTGTCTGCAAAGCATTGAGGTCAGTGGAGAGAAGTTGACAGCCTTAGTTTAAAAGTGCTTCTTTATCCATAAGTGTGCTCATAGCTCAAAGACCCAGCATGGGATTTGAGATTTGATTGTGTCAAATGACTCAAATCCATGGTAGACTGCGCATCCATTCAAGACTGTATTATCGAACCCAGATCGGTAGACTTACATTGAGGTGGATGCAGAAACAGGATTTCATGCCCTTTTTTTTGATGACGAAGGTTTGTGCGTTGTTGAAAGCGTACGGTGCCTTGATCTGAGACTATTGCAATGTGCTCGCCATCACTTGATATGGACAGCCCCGCAATCCTGTACGGGTGCAGCGTTTCAGTCAATAATTTGCCTGTTCTCAACAGCCAGGCTTTAATAGTCTTTTCGGATGATTGGGACGCAATTATTCCCCCATTGTGCGGCGACAGGCTGAATGAGGTACCTTCGGCTCCAGATTCAACGAAATCTGTGGCGGGGATCTTTATCTCGGTCAGACACTGCCCCGTAGATATTTCCCACAGCCCAATGCGCGTCTCTCGGACCCTGCTTGCGTCCCGGCGTTTCCACGAAATAGACCTGATCTGACATCCTTCAGGGGTATAAAGTATCGAAGCCAGTCTGAAATTGACATTCGGTTGCATATTTTGAAGGCAGTCGCCGGTTTCCGTATGCCATATCTTGATGGGGGCAGCTGCCGACGCAAATGTGCAGCCATCTGGGGAAAACGCGACCGCAACAGCCGGAGAGCTGTGGCCGTTGAGTGTCAGAAGGCATTTGCCAGTCTCTATGTTCCAAAGCGTGACAATTGTGTCCTCGGACCCCATGACCAGATTACGGCCATTTGGTGAAAGGGCAATGCTGTTGATCTTTCCCGAGTGATATTGCAGTGTATGCAAGCAGCAACCCGTTTTAACGCTCCAAAGATTGCACTGAAAATTCCCAACAACAGCTGCCACTATCAGTCCATCGCAGGAAAATTTCACCTGCCCTAACCGCCCGTTCGATGGCCTGATGGTTCTCAAGCATTGGCCTGTTTTTGCATCCCATAGTTTCATGTCATCCAGAGATGTTGAGGCTAGAAAATTTCCCTCCGGCGAAAACATTAGTGTCTGGCATTGATCATGGTGTCCGAAGACTTGAATGCATGTGTCCCAATCTTCCTCCTTCACAAGTGGTTTGATGGCAATCCAAACCGGCACTTCGCGCAGGTATAGTCTCCTGGCCAGGCTTGTTCTTGGACTAAACAAGAGAACTGAGAGGTAAATTTGAAGGGGTGCCTTCTCAATTACATATCGTTATTGTTGCAGGAAGCGCAAAGCATCTTCAACCAAGGATGTCAGTTTCGAAAACCTGGCAGTGCACTATTTAAACATCAGCACAAGTCTCGGTAACTGGTATGCGAATAGTCAGTCATTCACACCTTCAAAGCAGATGACAGTTTTTTCATACTCTCGACGCCTTCATAAACACTCCCCATGAGACATATAGCCTCAATCCAATGGAGAAAACAGTGCGCGAAGAAGTATTCCATATGGCCAATTTGATGTTGTTCTATACAACTTGCCGTACAGAAGTGATTGATCCAATGTATGCAGGAATAACGAACAGGCGCCAGAGGGTCAGGTATCGGGGTTCGTACATCACCAATAAAGGTACCAGGTGTATCGAGGAGATAAATATTGCGGAGAAGTGTTGTTGACATAACTTGGAGAGAGTGCATCCAAATAAGGCCATGCTCGCAATTAGATCCCCCCAGCATGACCTTTTCATTAGCCGGATGGTCGAGAAGGAAATCCTTTGCAGACTGGTGTACAAAATAGACGGTACTGTTTCGGATTGTCAAAAAAGAGCCACACTGTCGAACGGCTTTCTCCAGAGATCGTGCGTCGTTGACGAGAGTTCCCAGAGGCCCAAGAAGAGACCTCATTTCTGCGATGTCCACTGGGCGAAACACCACTGACGCAACCGCAAGGATTCTTCGAATCAATTGGACATCATTCGAGCTAAGGGCGTGATGCAACATCCGCGTGTACAGCACGTCCAAACCTGGAGGAAACTCGGCTAACTTCGATTCCACTTCCCAATCGTTGGTGTTGTTATCCGCAAGCTGTTGACAAACCAAAGCTGCCCAGAGAAATGTGCTGTGTGAGTTTTTCACTAAAGTGCTGTGGACCAAGTCCCTCTTGGCAGCGGAATACTCATGCTTTTGCGCTAACTGGTTGACTTTGTGTTCGATGAAAGCCACCACGGCGGCTGACACGGACTGTTCATTCAGCTCCAAGGAAACATGAGCTGCCTTCTGCGCGGCAGCTGCTATTCCACGCTCGATTGTCGGCCAGTTACGACTGGAAACAATGACTCTGACGGCTTTCGAAGATAGCAAGTGAATGAAGTCGAGAAGTCTGTCAACACCTGTAATGCATTCATCCAGTGCATCTATAACGATGACAGCATTCTGAAAGCTTTCGTTGGCTAGCACGCTGATGATCATGTCACACAGGGTTTCCCATCCATTTCTACTCTCAAACAATCGTCTATCGCAATAGTCGTAGGTCTCGCGCAAGTCTTTGACGAGCTGGGGCTTTCTCTTTAGTAAAAGGTACAGGATTCCGCGTAGAATGGCAGAGGCACTACTGAGGTCAGAATCGGTCGCTTGACAGAAGAAGTAGATGGGCTGGTGGCCCGAGTTCTCTTCGTTCAATTCGTCTATGATTCCGCAGAGAAGCATGGTCTTCCCTTTACCGGGATCGCCTCTTATCCAGAGCAGTCGATTCTGAAAGTCGTCTCGCCATCGCTGGAAGTCCACGTTGTTGAGGATCCAAAGATACGAGTCTTTAAATAGGCCGCCCTTTGTGCGCTCGATTCGGTCTTTATCTAGACGTGGGTCGCTGAGCTTCAGATCGATGAGAAATTGTCTGTCTTTGTCGCTAGAGTCGCTTGTCTTTGCACTTAATCAGCGAAGTTTTCGTGCGGGAGGATAGGCGAACTTACGTATCGTGATATTCTCCGCGTTGTACTGGCTCCCATTCCCCACATTATTGTACTGTTTGCCCGAACTGGTGTTGTTAAGGTTCATTCTCGTAGTGTCCCACGAAGCGCATCGTGAGTTGCGTCGCGTTGATCAGTTCACAGTTCCTGTTCGGCTCTGGTGTGTTGAATGGTCTTTGCGCGGATTTGGCAAGAGGGCTGCGGAGAGGGCATCAGGTTCCTCTGGCCAGATAAGGTAATCTTGGAAGCGTGCGCAGCCTGATCGGGCGGGGAAGAAAGTGGGAACGAAGACGTGTGACGGTGTTGGGCGTTTTTGGTATGTCAGATTTGATTGGAGGACTGCCTCAAAGCATGTCAATCAAGTCTGCCTCCGGGTGTGACGGGCGACGACTGGCTGACAAGTATATATCTTGGCTATGCGGGGCTGGTCTGTCTGTAGCCTTGTCTCTGTCCTCGTCCTGCCGTCGTCTCCTGCTGTTTGCATAATCAGTCCCTCTTGCTACAATAGCTTACGCTCACGATCAAAAGCCTCGGGCCGTTCGAAGCCCACCAAATGAAGGTGGAACATTGGGTCACCAAGTAAAACAAAGCTGGAACAACCCAGAAGCTCAAGAAGACCCAGCAGCCGAAAAGACCTGAGAGTCCTTACGCCGAGTTTGGACTAAGAATCGCACAGCCCCTGTCAGCCTTCGCGATCGCATCAGAAGTGTGACGAAACTTAACACGATTGCAGTAACCAAAGGACGCTATTTACATTGCGTTCTCTGTTACCTAAATGTAACATCCTTACTCCTTGTGTTGGTAACCATGATAACCTACACCCGTCCTCAACACCGCGATGAGTTCGAAATCGCGGTGGTCTGCGCACTTCCTCTAGAAAGCGACGCAGTTTCGTTGATCTTCGACGAATTCTGGGGCGATGAAGGCGGACATGGACTCGGCCGGTCAGCTGGGGATCAGAACAGCTACACTAATGGCCGCATAGGCGACCACAACGTTGTTCTGGTCCACCTTCCCAACATGGGAAAGGTCTCTACCGCGGCAGCGGCTGCTGGACTTCGGTCAAGCTACACGAGGCTCAAGCTCGCAGTGTTGACTGGAATATGCGGCGGGGTTCCTCGTCTTGAAGGAGGGAAAGAGATCTTCCTAGGAGACGTCATTATCAGCCAGGCGGTCGTTCAGTATGATCTCGGAAGACAGTATCCTGAGAAGTTCATTCGGAAGGATACGACTAGCGACAATCTCGGACGTCCTAACCAAGACATTCGGTCTCTCCTCGCCAGTGTTCAGGGAGAATTTGGTCTGAATCATCTTCAGCAACAAATGCTCCGGACTCTGGACCAAATCCAGAATAAGACAGCCGGTCACCATGTAGTCTACACTCGTCCACCGCCAACAGAAGACGTCCTCCTTGAGCCGGCCTACCTCCACCGTCATCACGACCAGTACAACTGTGGATGCGATGACAACGCAGCCTGCAACAAGGCCATGGATTCTTCCTGCTTGGATCTTCGATGTGCCGAAAACAGCGTCCTGCGAAGGGCACACTCGGGTGATTCACAATCGCGAGACCCTCGCATCTTCTTTGGACAAGTCGCTTCAGGAGACACAGTCATGAAGTCCGGAGAGCGTCGCGATAGCATCGCACGGGAGCACAACGTGATAGCATTCGAGATGGAGGGCGCCGGCGTTTGGGACCAAGTTCCATGCCTAGTCGTCAAAGGAGTCTGCGACTACGCAGATAGCCACAAGAACAAAGTGTGGCAACCTTACGCCGCGGCCGTGGCCGCGGCTACAACCAAGGCTCTTCTTGGGCTCTACCCTCGAACCGACAACCTGACGCAACGCTCTGCCGCCGAAGACGGTCGACCGCCCCCCGTCACAAACAATTTCAACAGTAATGGAACCGGGTCTCAATACAACAACACCGGCAACGGTCCTCAGTACAACAACACTGGAGGGGGGAACCAATTCAACGGGACCAACATGACCTTCGGGAACTTTACCAGGTAGAGTGTAGTAGGATCGAGGCAGCGAATCAGAGTTCGACGAAGAGACAACTTAGAAGACGATGTATTTATGGTGTTGGGAACGAAAATATCTAGCACTACAACAGGAAAGGGGGCTCAGACGATAGCACAGCTAGGTATTGGAGTTGGCAAATGTCCACTTTGAAACGCTTTCGTGACCTCTGAGGTGTTTCTTTCGAGGTTTATTATTACTACTTAGCTTGAAACTGTGCCAAAAATCTCGATGTACGAGCCATGCGGCCCATGTCGTCGAAATACTTCTAGAAACGAAGCTGATACAATCTATCCCGCCCATACGAAGCAGCAATACTTCTACCCAAACCGACTCAGGGGAATGCGACTGTCCTTTAGCGAACAGCGATCCATCTAATGAAAGGGCTAATTCCACATGAGAGTAGCTCCGTAGTTGATACATCTGCCCAATGAATGTTAGTCCACGTGGATCACTCTAGGAACCTGACAGATTGCCCGACAAGAACAGCTCGAGACTCACCTTGACGTGTTTGGTCGGTCCTCAGACTCCTCAGCTGGACAGTGGCAGTAATAGCAGAATCTGACTCCCATGTCTGTTAGCGTGGCAAGCGTCTGCCGCTCCGCCTCCTCGACCGCCGGATCCACCCTTGCCCGACTTTGCTCGCAGGTCTCGCCTGGGTGTACCTTTCGTTTGCAGATCATGCAAGTCCGCTTTTTGCAGCTGCAACGGGCAGTTTTGGCGGTCTCGTTACGTTTGTGATGAGGAATGTATCGTCGGCACAAGGTGTCGTGTCAGTAGATTGCCTTTCGTTCTTGGACGTCGGTTGCTTCGGAGACGAGCCTTTGGTAGCGTACGCACTCGTGTGGAAGGAGGAGTTCTTCGGCCCACGCATCAACAAACCCTGATTCGCCGCTGTAAGCACAGTAGGGCTCGATGCAATTTGGCTTGAGAAATGGCCGGATAGAGATGGAGGAGCGGAGGTATTTGGTGACGCAGTTGCGACAGAACTTCGTACCACAAGGGTGTTCCAGGACACGGGCCGGTCGGAGTTCTGCTTTACAGATGAAGCAAGTGCTGAGAATTACCTGTTGGTCAGGCATGTCGATTTGAAGCCTTTTGATTAATCGCTCTTCTTTGGTATTCGATACTCCTCGGTTTGCTGATCTTTTCTTTGTCTGAGGAACCTCATCGTCAATTGCTTCTGTTTCGCCTTCCCTTCTGATTAGGCGTGTTAGTCTTACCTTATCAATCATTTCTTCATCATTTGTGGTTCTTGCTTCGCCCGTCGCTCCTAACACATCTTGCCTCGCTTCGTCAGCTGCTCTTACCTCGTCAGTGGTTTCTATCCTGGTCGTCGTTTCCTCTGTTACTACAGGCAGTGGGGCAGCAAGATCCGCCTCAATGAATTGCCCTGCAGCATTCCGTGCTAAAACCCAGTCACCCTTCTCTGGATCGTAAATGAGGCCTGGTGCTCTTCTAACGCCAAATCTCAGACCCCTCCTGGGTCGTCTCCAAGGTGCTTTGTACCAGGAAGGCACTGTGCGTGAATTCATGAATTCCTTCCTCGTGGTATCCATCGCATCAAATATTAGGGCTTGTGAAGGCGAAGTTGGAATGATCACAGGGACGATACGTTGATTCTGCAAACCCCGTCTAGTTATGCTCCTTTCTAGGCGCCTTTCAGATTATTATAACATTTGACAATGTATCTCCGATGCAGGCTTAGAAAGCTGATGATATACGGACATTATTTATGCAACCTGAGTGGTAGTAAGTGGTGTCTCTTAAAGTTTCACGATGGTATCTCCGTCACAGTGCTAAGGTGGGGAGCGGATCTCATCAGAGGTTTATTTCGCAAATTCGCAATTTTCATATCAGGGTACTCACCCCAGCTTCAAAGCACCTCTTTGAAGTTTTAAGCACAGCGAAAAGTAGTTCCTCACAATGCACCCTCTACGCAGATTCTAGACATGTTATAATTCAATCTTTTTGGCGGTAATTGCTGGTGACTTGGGTTTATTATATCCAATGGTTCGACTCGGTCCATCTTTTCGGCGACTACAATACTTTTAAAGGGCCAGCGGCTTAAAGTTATTGATATTTTTCAACGGTTCACTGATCAGTTCTAGAACAAGCAATGAAGTCCAGGTTTTCTAGGATTATCGTTGGTCCAATTTCTCAAACAACTTCCCGAGAGCCATTTTGAAGAATGGATGGGACCTGTCAGGAGAAGAAGGAAGACCATGCCATGTCAATGTTTCAGTCGTGATTGAGATATTTGATCAACAGTCCGAAATTTCTGCCGCAGATAAGATGCATTTACCAGCCTTAAGCATATCGAATGTGGTAGCATGGAAAGCCGCACGAAGTGGCAGGGCTAGGCTGGCAAACGGCCCAACATACCTGTCTCGGGAAGATCTCGGAGTGTGTTCCACAGTACGCAAGCTTTCATCTGGGAGTTTATCTTGCAAGCCTGAGCGGTTATCGGGTTGCCATGTGTTCCCGCGAGTTAGAGAGTCAATAATGGGCTCACTCATTGACACCATCACTTGGTACTTCGCCCAAGCGAAATGTGTGCATCGTCAAATGATCGACCTCGTGGACTGGAAGTTCATAGGCATACTTGCATTTAGGCTAGACACATTGCTGGAAGAATCTGGCCTACAAATTTCAGTTCGAATGTATTGAACTCGCAACACCCGTAATTTTATCCCTTTCCTGATTGTTCAATCAATATCGGGCAAGAATACCACGAACAAGGAATTATGGCAATATGTAATTTTTATTTTCCAAGATGGTGGTTTGGTCGCAGTTCCTTGCGCAGTACGATCTCTAAGTTCTAGAAGGGTCATACGCAAGTTCCACGTTTCTTTCACGTCAATGATTTGTGCGCTTTGGTCGTAAAAACGCTCGGAGTTGAGGTTCGGCGGAATGAGGGGCTTCCCCGTAGTCCGTCCTCTTGATCACCCCATCCCCAGGATTCGGATCAGGGTCCAGCCTGGTCTAGCGAAAACAGAGTTCAGGCTTCAAAGCTTGGTCCTTTCGGCGTGGACGGACGCAAGCCATCCGCCGGATTGGCCCGATTATTATTGGCTGCTTCACTGAGATGTAGACGTTGCACAAGGAACCCCAACGAAACTTCCCCCGTCTGGGGATAGAATTTGAACGATTAGAGTTCAGAAGAGTCTGATACTCCCTGGAGGCGGAGTTTACTTCTGGGAAGGACCATCAAAGACATGTGCGAACGTCGTATAGGTCTCAGTTGGTGCAAATCGCTTTTGGATGAACGTCAATATGTGCGCACGCAGTGTAACAGTCTCTGCACAGCAATGACTCGAGTATGGTGACTTGCGGTATCTTCACAGTCTTGGGAGAGTTAAGGTTCGCATCTTTCACAGGAAACTTCCTCAAATGCGCGAATGGAGTAGCTCTAAGCTGTTCGGATTCGCTTCGTTCACTTTCCTAGCTCTATGGCAGATGGGACAAGTTTGAGTATGCATAAGGTTAGAAAAGTGGCTGAACTCGCCGAACCAGCGACTGGGGTTAAAGCAGGCAGGATTTGAACCATGTACCAACGAATGGGGAACTTTCAACCTTCTCAGACGTGGTCCGTGGTGGTGGTGACAGGTGTGTTTGCCGGAGTTGATGGTGAGCTCGGCCGCTACCCTGCCGAGCTATCACTTGTTCTAGTCGTTGCGTGAGCCATGGGATGAAGGATATTATGAACCAAGCTTCTGGAACTCGATGATCTTGGGGTGATTTCGCCGATCACCGTGCAAGTCGCTGGTACACTTACAATACACTCGATCGGGCAGTCAACTGCCCGTTTCATCGCTTTATCACGAAACCATGCGTTTCCTAAAATAAAGGCCTTGTGAATACAGCCATCTCGGAGTTTGGAACACACTATAACGAGCCGCGATAAGGAAGCCCAGGTCGTAATCGGCATGATCAATCATCAGGCCAAGTTGCCACGCGATGTGAAAGGAACTGCGGCAGTTACCGCTGGCCAAGTCATTGTTACCGTCGTTGCGGATCAAACACGACTCGCAGAATTTCTGCTTAAGTGAAGCAGCCGGGTACGTGGACCTCGGGCGGTGTCACAGCCCGCGAAGTTTACTGCTGCACCCTCGCCTCAAAATCCGACAAGCATTCGGCCGGCAGGGCAGCAAATAACGTTTCAAACCATGATGCCTCCGCATATTCATAGAGCATGCTCCCGACCATTCAATTTGGCGGCGTTCCAGGTTGCCTAGCTAACTAACATCACGAACGTGAATTCGATGACAGCTCTTCGATGACTAAAACAGAGCAGCGTGCTCGCAACGTCGATCCGTCATGGAGATAAATCCAAGCATCGCCGAAATCTGGTCGCTCTACGCGATTGCGACTACGATGATTGCGCTGAGGGTTTTCTGTCGCACGAAAATGGTTGGAGTCTCGGGGTTCCGGCCGGACGACTATCTCGTCCTCTTTGCCTGGGTAGGAACATTTCGTGACGGCCAATACGACTGGGAACTGACTTGTCGAATTCTAGGCCGTGTACACGACGGTATCGACTATGGCGACTATGTTCGTGTTGGTCGCCCAAGGAAAACATACTTCACTCTTGACACCGGAGCAGCGAGAGATGATGCCGGAATCCGAATTGTACGTGTACCTGAACCTTGGATTGTGTTCATTTGAAGAGAACCGCAGACGCTGATGTTTTGCAATCTCTAGTTACCTATGGGAATATGGGTCGAAGAATTTCGTGGTGGGGATGTGTTGCTATGCGACGATCGTTTGGACCCTGAAATTTAACAGTACGAGACACGATGTTCACTTCATGTTCCGCTACGAGTACCAACTGACATTTCTGCTACAGTGTTGTTCTTCTACCGACGACTAGTTGAAGGGCAGTGGGTAGAGAAGTTCATCTTCCCCGTCATGGGCCTGGTTGGAGCGACTGCGATCGCGATGGTACTCATCATCTTCTTGACCTGCCGACCAATAACTCTGATGTGGCA